CCAGTAGGTCCATGTCTCTCTTGGAGTGGGGAGCCCCCACTGGGCACAGTACTCCAGGTGAGGCCTCCCCAGGGCTGAGGAGAGGGGCAAGACCACCCCCATCCACCTGCTGGCAACACTCTGCCTCATGCAGCCCAGCGTACCAGTGGCCTTCTTGGCCACAAGGGCACACTGCTGCCTCATGCTTAACTTGCTGTCCACCCACACTCCCAGGGCTTTCCCTGCAGAGCTGCTTTCCAGCAGGTCAGTCCCCAGCCTGTACTGGGGTATGATGTTATTCCTCCCGAGGTGCAGGACCCTGCACTTGCCTTGGTTGAACTTCAGGAGGTTCCTCTCCGCCCACCTCTCCAGCCTGTCCACGTCCCACCCTATGGCAGCACAGCCTCCTGGTGAGTCAGACACTCCTCCCAGTTTAGTCTCATCAGCAAACTTGCTGAGGGTGCACTCTGTGCCTTTCTCTAGGTCATTGATGAATACGTTGAACAAGACCGGACCCAGGACTGAGCCCTGGGGGTGGACACCGCTAGCTGCAGGCCTCCAACTAGACTCTGCACCACTGACCACAACCGTCGGAGCTCGGCCATCCAGCCAGTTCTCAATCCACCTCACCGTCCACTCATCTAGCCCACACTTCCTGAGCTTACCTAGGAGGATGTGATGGGAGACAGTGTCAAAAGCCTTTGGGGCATATTAGGGGGGAAAAAAAGAAAAAGAAACACTTCTGAAAGGTCCTTCACCCTAAAACCAGTGTCATCCCAAAGCAGTTGATTGCTATCAGGTCTCATTTCATTCAAAGTCAGCAACAAGTTGCCTGTGTTTATCCCATATAACATATGCTTGTTAATATGCGAGTTAACATACAGCCTAAGACTCAGAGGATAAGATACTTCACCTTAAATTCATGTTCAGCAAGAGATGGGAGGATGACAAAAGGAGTAAAAGAAAGAAGCTTTACTTTCTTTTTCTCTTTGCTTGAGTTGACCAAAGGATGATTCTGAAGTTAACAGAATGTGTTCTGGCCTAAGGGCACAGTAAATGGGTAAGGTGTGCTCTAGGACACCGCTTAAAGTCTCCTGCTGCCCTAATGCATTCTCCGGAGTATTCAAAGCAAGCCAGAATGTGTCCTTGTCTGAGCTACATTAGTTAAGTGGAGACGTGATATCACAGCAAAAAAAGGAGGGGAAGAAATGTCCTACAGACTGAAAACTGAAGATCACAGAGAAGCAAAAATTCTTTTCAAAGCTTTTTTTTTAATGACTTGGATAGTGAATCCACGTTTTTCAGTTTACCAAAAGAGAGTACAGTACTGGAATGAGTCAGTTATTCACGAATCAACAACTTCACTGAGCTATTTTAACTTCAGGGTGATCTCTGGGTATGTTTATGCTGACAGTTACATATGTGTCTCCAACTGGTTTTAAAGCAAGATTCACCTACATCCACATTGTTCACATGCGAACACATCTGTAAGAATAAATGCAACCTGGTCTCTGAAGCATGCTGGAGGGAGAGAATCTATGCTGGCCTGGTGCTTCGGTAAGGATAAAAGCTCTCTTTGTTTGGCGTGGATGGATTGAACACGGGCAAACTTAAATCCCTTTCATTCCTATCAGCCAGCGGGCAGACCGAATGCAGCTCTTAGTAAGCACACAAGGATACTCTGAGCCTGACCTGCAACTTGCTGTATGCAGCTCTCAAGCCTGTTCTTCCTTTTCCTCTGTAGAAATACCTTTCTAGGCTTTTGCAGAGTCACCTTAGGGATGAATTTCAACAAATCAGTTAGTGTCCATTCATACCCTTAGAGAGCAATGTGTTAGATGGTATCCCTAGCTCTGACTTCATTCTGGAGCATTTCAATTGTTCAGATAATTTATCTATCTGTCTGGTGCATTTTTTGTTATTGGAGGGATATCGAAAGGTAGCACTGAATGCAGACACCACTTCATAACAGTTCCAGCCAGGTAGTCAAATTGGGATAGCAAAGTGATTCCTACAACACATCTTCTGAAGCTCCTCCACCATAAATATTGCATATGGAGCAGTGCGAACTGAATAAAGAAAAAAATTGAAGTCACAGCATAAACTGTACAACAGATTAATATTAAGATTAGAATTAAGGAGAGTTGGAAACCATAGTCATTTAAGCACAATTTATAAGCCTAATTTCCTGCATGTCCCTCCCAGATAATAAATACTTTTCTTTTGGCTTGGAAAAGCTGTGGAAAAAAAAAAAAGTTAATTTAAGGCTCATTAGTTTATTTTTAGTAGCTTGAGATCTGAGGGATTTGAAAACATTTCCCTTTTCCAATAGAACATGCCTTCCTGTATACCAAGGATGTCCACTGACCTCACTCCCTCCTGGAAGGTGCCATTGATCCATGACAGAAATCCTGTGAGGGCTTTGAAAACTAAATAGGAACCAGAAAAAAGTATTATCATGCTTAGCTGATTATAACGTTGGAAATAAAGTTCAACTGTGAGTTTGCTGGGAAGAAGAAGTAGTGCCTGAAACAAACAAGCACTTCCTGTGTTTGCCTGGAAGAAGCCAATCTTCCCTGTGCTTATATAATAAGAACATTACTAGCTAATTTGCCAGTAGCTGAAAGAGTTTTCTGTTTTTAGCTCTGGGTCTGTGGCAACTGTTTTGTTTTAAATGAAAATTAAATGGGAACATACAGCTAAAAAACCGTCGAGCCGTAATTGAAGTGCATTAGTGGTAATTACGTCTTTCTTTCACTCATCATTTTGACAGAGAAATCCATTACCCCTCCATCTCCATGTTTCCACAAATTACTCTTCCCTGTAGATGTGCGGCAACTGAAGGAAATCATGGCTTTGTTCTATCTTCTTTTTTTCAGTGCAGTCCTGTTCTCCTTGTACTTCTTTCCCTGAGGACACAGCTGAAAATATCAATAAAATGTATAAACAGTTTACTACTTTGATAGGAATAACAGGGGAAAAAAATCATCAAGCATTAAAGTGGAACTGTGAATGTCAGTTATTGAGAGATGTAACTTGTTTGGTGTTGCTCATGGCCATATATCAATTATGTGATTTATTTCCAACTGCATTATCTTGCCAGTGAGAGACACTTTCCTCAGACAGCAGTTTCACCATGTGAGATCCTTTTAAGGGTCATGTCAGTCTGAACACAAAATTTTCATTTCTTTACTTGGGATCTTCTTTTCAAATGTACTTTGGTACTCAAGGAGACTGAATTATCCTCATAGGTCCAAAATATAGTCACTTCTCTTGTTGGTCGACCTGCCTTAGGTGGACTAGCTTAAGAACACACTCATGTAAGATCTAGAAAAGGTCTCTATTAATATTCAGAAATAGCTATTTTATAGAGAGCAGGAATTTTGTAACAAAAACAACTTTCCCTTAGCTGTGGAGGAGATGAAGTACGATGAAGCTTAAATGGGAACTAAGTGAATGTTTCACTTTTAGGTGACTCTCAGGATATGAGTACTTGTCACTTGGAGATATTTCTACTTTTGTTGAAGACTCAACATGGCAGAAGCCAAACTTGCTTCCTCATTTACATTTGAGATTGTTGTGAAAAGTTTTGATAAAGTACCGATAAAATACCAATTATTTCTGAAGTCATTGCATAAAGAAATAGTCATTGCATTAAGAAATATCCTTAAGAGATAATATCTGGTGACTTTTAATCAAAATTAAGCATATGTTTAAATATTGTATTCAGTTACTTCCTTAAGTAAGTGATTACAAATTCATGTTCAGAAAACTCTTATAAGAAATCAAATCATTGTGCATTAAGTTGTATATATGTATGAAAACCATTTTTAAATGTTTTTAGAGTGTCTCAAAATCTTTTTACCAGATGATCTTATTTTTATCCACATGCCTGTAACGTTAGGTGCTTAAGTTTCTAGTAATCCCCCTGTGCAGGGCGCAAAGACAGTGACAAAACTTTAAAATTAATAGCTTTTCTACAATAATATCACCTCAGACTCTGAGAGTTCATTACTTTAGGTTTTTCCAGGCATACAAAGAAGTTCTATAGAATTCAGAGGTCTTCCTTTTGCAACAGATTTTCCCTCAATTTTGCAACTTTTAGCAATGACGATTCTACAGAGAATAAATAAGAGTTACTCAGAAAATGTGGCTAATGGTATACTTTGTTTCTACAGGGGCATTTTTGTCATACAGTTCCATAATTTGTCACCTGGACACTAGCTTTCAATATGATGGTAGAAAGACACATAGACAGATATGCATAAAATGAGGCGTTCTAAATGAAAAAGTGGGGCTGAGGCTTTGTATGCCTAACTTGACTAATATGATTTTATTTCAACAGGAAAGAAACGTTTAAGTGAGGTATTAAATGTATTGCTCAGTTATTAAGGTATCGTATATATATTTTTTTGCTCTTTATCTTACTTGTGAAGACAAGAGTCTTTGACTTCCATTCTATTAGAAGTTAAAGAATTTGTAGAATCTGTTTTGGCTACCAAATATTTTCCTCTAAGTCTCTAAGAAGATTGGCACTGCCTGTTACTAAAGGAGTAGTGTTGGCATATTTCTACCAGATTTTCCGTATTTGAATCTATTCACAGGACAAAATTACTTAGCAGAATCCATTCTTTTCTAAAATTATACTGAATATTCCTTGGATGTAAATTTGTAATTCTGTGAAGCATGACAGGGACAGTTACCTTAAGTTTACTCTGGGATTCAAATAACGTTAAGGAAAACAAGGTATATTAGTAATATTAGTTTATCAAAATAATGAAGTGGAATGTATTTAGATTCTTCAGGCCATAAAGACTCTCCTCTACATGGCCTTTTTTTCTGTTGTTTTTGGAAAGAGCTGAGCTCATGGTAGTTTCCCTGGCCTTCTGATTGACTTTAACTGCCTTAAGAAATGTTTTGTAAACTGATACATAGGCTTAATCCAGCCCTGAATTGGCCTGAACTGCACCAACAGAAAAATGGTTTTACAGCAATATGAAAAAGAAAAACAAAAAAGGAAAAAAGAAAGAAGAAAGAAGTGAATAAAATATTATCCAACTGAAATTGCTAATAAAATTGTCAAAAGCAGAGATAGGAATGTCAGGGACCTCAGGACAGTGCCATTTTAAACTGTGCCAATCCTGCTGACAAATACTCCTGTTTTCAAGGATCTCTATTGCCTGCCTCGGGAAACTGTGGAGTAACAGTGTAGATTATTCCTTCAATGTTCTGCCTATTGTGAAAACTTTCTTAATACCTCATCTTCAGTTTCCTTGTCCGTTACTTGTTTTCTGTGTCTAAGGGGCAGAAATGACTATTCTCTTATCGCTTTTATAAGTATGTTTGTCTTAATCTTTTTTCTTTAAATAACCTCATTACATTTAGGCTTTTTTTTATTATTAATATCTTTTCGATAGTTGTTTCTAGGTTTCCTGTGTTAGTATTAATAATTTAGGCAAGAAGATTGTCTCAGTACCTTACTTTTACGCTTCCGCTAAACAACAGAGAGTTTGTTAGCATACAACTAATTAATTATATCCCTGCTGACTCAGAGAAGAGATGCACGAGCATTATTTCCCTTTCCTCTCTCATGTCTTTCCTCCCTCCTCCGGTAATACTTAAGTGAATTCCAAAGTTACAGTAGGAGTAATATGCCAGAATATGCAGATCTGAGATATCTACCTGAAGAAACGCTTCAGCCAACTCCAGCCTTCTAACAGTTAATCCTCTAATCTAAACTAGTCATCCAGGATGCCTTTGTTCACTGCAGAGAAGAAAGGCATCTTGAGGAGGACAGCTTATCTGCCCTGGCAGCTTAAGGTAGGGGTCCAGTACTGTGGGATGCTTATCCTCTTGAGATCCTTCTCTCTTTCCATGCACAGCCTGAGCACTTGTTCAGAAGCTCTCAATTGTTCAGCTGGACCAGATGTCTGCCTTTAGCTATTGTGACCAGAGGTGGCAACTACTCTTAACCAAACGGTGGACTGTGTAACTGCCAACCTGGCTGTACCACATCATATAGGTGAATGTACCAGACCAGATTATCAGTAAGTTTGATGCCTAAACCATATGTCTAGAGCACGTGTTTTGAGCAACGCCTCAGGAATGGGCATGTTTCGTATATTTTGCACTAGATTCTCAACTGTACCTTTCTTTGCGGTCAGAAGTCCTGACGAGAGCTCTAATGCTCATATAAAAAGAAGAATAGATGGTTAACTAAAAAAAAAAAGCAAACAGAAAAATGCTGATGGTACTATTTCTTTAACATATTGTCCTTCTCATATAAATTATTTACTAGGTTCAACAGGTTTAAATATGTGCAAACTCAAGTGAGTGCCCAGTCTGACTCTTGCACAAGCTTAGATCCTTTGTCCTATTAAGTATCTGATCCTAAAATATTCCTTATCACTCATTAAAATCTTGTGGCAAGCTCTAATGTGTTTGTAATGTCATGAAGTATTAGAAACTATTCATGGCATATGTTTTGACATGCATTAGCTTATCACAAAATACAATGCGATCAGAATGCTCAATTTCTTTCACTGAAGGTATGGTTCAGTTTATAAAAGTGTAATTAGATGGATGTTATCTTTTTGCCTTATCTTGAGTCTATGCTGAAGTTTAAGAAAGCGTTTTCGTGTGTTGCTGTGTTCACATATACATGAACATTGTCATATTTATGAAAAGTAAGGTAGCACTCTGGAAAAGACAGTCGATTAGCTTGTCTTCAGCTTCTCTCTTAAAGCTGAAGGGAAACTTGAACTCTTATCTAGAGGGAGCCGGTCAACCTAAATGAATGGTCAGACCAACACAAAGCTAACAAGTGAGGTAGATCACTAGCTTGTTGAGAGAGCTCCTGGGTAAATCTGGAAGGTACTCTTGGGCATAAACATGGTGCAGGTGGCACTGCAGCAGCTGAATCCTGCTGTGAAATTAGCCCCTGTAAAATTTAGAAACATATTTTAGCAGGTTAGGTACTTAATTTCCCTTGAAATTTTTTATTTCCAAGAGTTACAAGGGTATTTGCAAATTCTTAATGCAATCAAGGGAAATGAGCTGCCCTAGATCTGAATCTTAGGCTCTTGTGTAAATCCCCCAAGTGCCTTTTAGTATCTAAATGCTTCTGTAAATCTGGTACCAAGTTTTTGGAGTCTGTTGTCCAATGACAATGACAAAACTAGTGATTTAGTAGAGCAGGACTAAACCACCATGTAGTTAACTATCCCATTTTCCAAGCACACATACCAAACAACACACGTTTCTTTTGGGTGACATATAATAAAGTTAATTTTCTTGTTTTAAGAGAGGCATATTTTCAGTCTTTCTCTGTATATACATTTACCTCAATAGAGATGTGATCCTATCCTAATTTCCTCTTTTACATTGTGCCTCCTTGTCTTACACATCTTTTTCCTCACCTACTGCAGTTCCTACAGGAAACTGATTTCCTCCCACAGTCACCCACACTCCTTCTGTCCCACCAATCAGTATAAGCTCAATTACATTGTTACACAAACTAAATAGAAAAATTAAAAAATAGATGAATTGTAATCTTAGTTTCGTTATATTCCGGGCAAAATTCTGGCATCTAGTTTAGCTGGACCACCTTCCATAGTATTTCACCTTTCCAGAGTTTTGAAGCTTTTATTTTCCTGACAGCCTGTGAAATAGGGAAGAATGAGCGTATTTAATTGTTAGGAGGTGATCACAGTAAAGTAAATTGCAACTTTGCTCCGAGAGCAGAGAGAGGCTTAAACTGACTCTTTCATAAGCTAGCTCAGTCCTGGAAGCAAGGCCATGCATTGCCATGCATTGTGGATTTATCCACACGACTTCTGATCCCAAAATGGACCTTTTGTGGACTGTGTGAGCCGGATACACGGACTAGGTCAGTCAGGATTGCCTGCAACATGGTTTCTTCCTCAGCAGAGACGTGTCATGGACAACCTCCTGACACGGGCACTGTAAAACCGTGGGCAAGCAAGGACTTGCACTGAGCTCCCAAGTTCCAGGTTACTATTCTAATCAACAGAGTATGCTTTTGCTGTGTAACTTGCAGTTCAAATGGTAGTGTACCATCTTTCTCCATTGGATTGAATTAAAAATAAAGGGTGTACTTGTCTTGGAGTAGAGAGAAAGCCCAAAGATTTTCCCTGATATCTTGTATGAACTGCAGAAGAAAAAGGAAAAACTTCCTCTAGGAAGGTTAAGGAAGAGCAGACATTGGTTTACAGTGTGATCCAATATTTGGGGGAATGTTGTAGACAGATTCTGGAGTAGATTCATCTCACTTAGCTTTAACTATCTAAACTCTAGGGGTTTAGTCTAAGCTTGTCATCTAAGCTCCTTCTTATAATTGATACATCCTCTGGGGGTGAGAGGGGAGTGAGATTAATCTACCTGTTATTGACTTTAGTAGGTTTGGAATTGCGATTGAGTTTGTAGCAATTAGTGTGTCAGCCAGTTACTACCAAAAAGGGTTAGGAAAAAACCTTCAGCTGTTTACAACACTACCACACAAACACTCTCAGATATCGATGTCTGTTAGACACAGTTTCAGAGGATGAGTCTGTCCAGGATAAAACTCACCTGAGATGGGTGAACATCCGAGACCTAAAGATGCCGTTCTGTCATTTCAATGTAGTTCTGATGCTAGATCATCCTGGGATTTTCCAGCAATGGGTCTTACTAACTGGTTGTGGGAAAGGTAAAAAGAGCATTTGGGCACAATGGTAGGGAAGGCTGGAGAGGATACCTCATCAAGGAAGATTATAAAAGGAGGAACTCGTTGGCAGGAAGTGAGCAAGTCACCCTTACATTGCATGATGAATGTCACATTGAGTTTGATCATATAATGTACCTACTGTTGCCTATTGATTTATACTAGTAATTCTTAAAGGCAAGGCCTGATACTTTTCTATGTGTCTATATAGGTCTTGAATTGCCTGTACAAACCTTGTATATCCTGTAGTACATGAAGTCCGAGTCCTTGGCTGGAGACACTCTCATGTCTTCAGAATAAAACTCAGTAAAATAACTATATGAGCACAACAGGTATGGTAGATGAGGTCTGCTATAAAACATTCTCTAAAACTGCAGTTGATAAAGGTTTTGCAGGGAAACTTAAGTATTTAGTGAGTTTTGGTCTACATGTAGCACCTGAAGCATCACATTAGGAGGCTGGTTAAATTTACAACGAGTTCTAAGGAACTCTAAGGAAGTCAAATCTGTGGAAGATTTGTAAAGCATTAGGTCAAGTCCTGAACGGGAAGTAAATCTATAGTAGGATCTGAATAAAGCTCTCAGCTTATGTGACACAGACATCACATTGGTGCATTTTTGATTGTTCGAAAGAAAGAGAAAAAAGAAATCTCCTCCACACCCTCTCTATATAAACAGCTGAGAAAAGCTGAATTCCCTAGTCCACAGGAAAAATAAAATCTTGGTTCTGGCACCAAAATTGTCTTAATTATACTTTACACTTGACAACTATTTCCTTATAATCTAAACCTCTGCTCCAAATCCCATAAGCATTGAAGCACAGAAATGAAGCTGATTTAAAGCCCCGAGTGTGTTTTGTTCCCTAGCACAAGATGAATAAATTTAGTGTTCCTGGAGGTCAAAACCCACACATTGTAGCAGACTTCTTGTAAATCTTTTAGATAAGTTTAGGATGGCTGCTGTTATTTTTGTAACCTTCCTTTGAACCATAACTTCCTCATCAGGTACTTCATATTCTGCCTCAGAGACATAAAACGCCTAGAAGCCAAGCTATTTCTTTCAGTTCTTTTACAGTACAAAGCAGTTATCCAGCAATCCCTAGGGTCATGCGATATTGCTACCTTTTGCATCAGTTCTTCAGAAGACCGAGCTCATCCCTTATCATTTTTCATGCTAAATTGACAGAACTTACCTGAAGGAGCCACAGGCTACAGCTCATTTTAGATGAAGGCACAGGGGCACACATTGATTGGCTGCCAATTCAATTGTAACTCTGAACAGAAAGATATGCTATCATAGCACCCATTATATGGCTAATATAATGTTCAGGACAGAAATCTAAGCTTTATAATAAATTGAGGACTGAAGAACAGACTTTACCAAGAAGCAGAAAACTAGAATGTCAAAAATGGACATATTAATACTCTATTGTAATTGTGTGCATTTAATTTTGTGACTAATATTTTATGGTCTGTGCAAATGCATATATATGTTTGGGTATTTAATAGACTGGATAATAACTGGATAACCATTTTACAACTGGGAGCTGTAAATTATCCGCTTTCCTGCTGCCTCGTAGTTTCATGAGGCTAAATGTATTAAAAACCATGAAATCTTTAAATACCATAGTGCTGGAGGTCAAAGGATTGTCTAATTATAATTTCATATTGTGCAGAAATCATTGTTGCATTATTCACTCCTAAACTAAACTTCATTTAGCATTTTTGGCTAGTCTTTATCACTCCCCTCACAAAAACAGTTCCAGGAACATTAACCAGAAGAAGTTAACCAAGTCCATTACCCCGATCCAGAACAAAACGCCCCCTAAACCCAAATGTTTGCTCTTTTTCTTTCTTTCTGAAACCTGAACCTCACACTCTTGGCTGATTGGTGGTGACTTCACCTAGAGGGGGATGAGCGCCACCAGATTATGCATACTGTATCTTCTAGGTTTATGTCCTTGGAAGCTGGGAGGTACAGATCTGAACCTTCTCAGTTTCAGGGGGGTGAGGCTTCCACCCACATCTCCAGATGAATAGTCCAACATTAGGCTAATAAGTGAAACATATGTGACCTTTTCTTCCTTTGGCAATATTTTAGGTAAAAGTGGCCACTGTTACTTTCCTTGTCTTTTGGGGAGCCCCAGGTTTTTGGATCTTATTAGATGCTCTCAGAGCATGTGTACCAGACCGGGCCCTCTGGGAGACTTAGGCGACCTCATTTGTAAATCCCAAACAGCTTCAGGTAGCTATTTGGTACATAAATACTCATCAAATACTGATGCTTGTGTTACATTAACAGGTAGCACAAGTTTTTAATTGCCTAATTAGGTTTCTAGGTAAACATCTTGGTGTCTATGCACCATCTGGTACATCAGCAGTTGGGGGGGGAGTGGTCTTTGAAACTGCGGCATTTTTATGGAAGAAAACTGCATAGTAGGCAAGTGGCTGCTGTTTGGATCTTACCTCTGGCCTTTAAACAAAATTAGAAATTCTACTGCGGGTGCTGCCAAGCCCATGAACATGTAAATTCTATGTGTATTTACCCTGCGATGGGGTTTTATCTTGTTGTTTTGCTTAAGGAATTCACTGAAATTCAGAACTTTTCCAGTATTACTTCAAGAAAAGTCACGGCATTTTTTGGCAGAAATGACAAATGGCAGTCACCATTTCCAGGAATGTGATATTTTTAACATGCTGAGGCAATAGAGTGGGGGGCAGATTTGTCAAAGTTACTTATTTTACGGGGTGACATTTAGCATGAACAGGTTAGCAAATGGCTTGAATTTGTCTAAGAAGAGAAAATTTGAACTGTGACAATAAACATCCCAGCAGAGATAAAAGGAGCATTTAAAATTGGCTTCATTAAACTGCAATTATGCCTTCTACTTTTGGTTCTCAGTAGCTTCAGTGAGACCTTTGTAGTGTTTGTTTTTTTTTCTTTTTAAAGAGGAATCAAAAGGACTACTACTCTGAACTGAGAAAAGGTAAAATCCTATAATTATGCACTCCTGAGTTTGCCTCCGTTTTTGCATTTCTTAATTTGTCCTTACGAAGCAGGCCACAGTAAAATCTCAAACTACAACAGAGGAACTCACAGAAAATACACGTGCCTGTGTATACAAAAGTATATCAAGTCATCTATGTAATCCATAGGCCTTGGGCTGCCATGCACCCAAAAACATCTTTTGGTGTAATAGCTTATACCTCTCAATTGCACTGCTTACCAAGAATAGTCAGAACAGCCATGTCTTCTGTTTTAAACTCTGCACTTCCTCCCTGCAGAGTTCAGAGTCGTGGAGCTATTCCCTGAAAGGGAGGAAACCTCCTATGACCAGTCCTATGTTCAATTTCTTGAATACTTTATCCCATGAGTCTCATCCGGAGAAGTCTATATTCAAAGAAAGATGAACATTTAAATGTCAAACAGATCTGGGATACACCACCGAAAGCAAACCAGGTAACTAGAAAATTGTGTGTGTTAATTGTTTAAATGTGAAACACGCACACAAAGGCTTCCACATTAAGCCTGCTGGGATCTTAGGTAGCATGCAGCACCTTTATAAACCTTTTACATTTCAGTAAGTTTTACCTTAAGTGAACTCAGCACAAAGAAAAGTTGTCATGAGCTCACCCTGAAATGCCTGCCTAAGAATGATTCAAAGAACAGCTCAATCTGTTCTTAGCTGGAACAAATTGTTCAAAGAATCAGACTGATTAAAAATCATAGGCACCGTTAATGCAGAGTGCCGATTCCCCCAATAACATGCTTTTTTCTGACATTGGCTACATCTATTTTGCTTATGTACAAATGTCAAACATACCATACCAGGCATCTAATCACCTAAGTTATACCTCTCAAGGAATGAGTTAAAGATATGTTTTCTGGTTCGTTGTATAATGCAAACTGATCTCAGATACCTAGGCAGCCAGTAACTAAAGAAAGGGAGATGATGGCTTTAGGAACAAAATAAAGTCTTAGCAGGAAAACAGGGAACCATAAGATCTCTCAGGAAGAAATAATAAACAGCTCAGTTCAGCAAACGGGCTTGAACAGAGCTTGGTCAACAATTCTTGACAGATAATTTGCTTGACTAACTTTTTCCTTTATACTGTAAATCAGCTAGTTTACTGAATGTATTTTCCATTCAGAAGTATGTGAAGAACTGCTTGTGGATACTGAATGATTTCTCCAAATGTTTCTGGAGTCACTGCAATTACAGACACTATAAAGTCAGTATCTTCTCTGAATGCTCTATAGCGATCAGTTTAAATTAGGTATTCTGGGAAATATGCAGGAAGAAATTCATTTGCAAAAATATTCCCGCATCAAACTATTCTGTCACACCCAAACAAATGGAGTAGAATCCTTGAAAAAAGTTCAGCACTGCCAATCTGCTCTAGTATTACCTCCTCTAACTTCGAGTGACATGGCATTCCATCTATGTTCATTAAAACATCAAATGGTTAGCATATGGATAGAACAGAGTCAAACCAATAGTCTTTAGGAATATTTCCACCAGGATAAAACCACCCAATGTCAGTTTTTAACAGGATTCTGTTTTGTTTGATATGTGTTAACATAGACCATTACTTCTTTTTTTTTTTTTTTTTAACTGCAGCTTTCACATACTGTAAGCAAACCCTACACGTTGTGTTGCTTGGAAACTGGTGAAAAAAAACGAAACCAAACATAATCAGAAAGAACTATCCAGTTATATACAAAAAAAACCTCTTAGAACTGTGTGAATTGAATACAATTTAGCTCAGCTTTGTTTGCAAATTATAGTGTGTCATTTCAACTTAGTTATTCACCTGGTTTACTATGATTAGTGACTATTAAGTCAAAGTGATAATTATTTTGTTTGCCTAAGACACTGAAACATAGGCTGCTATTTATTATGGTTTTAAAAGGAACGTTAATGAACATTTTTGTGTTTAGGTAAATTTGTTTGTTGAATTATTTGTTTGTTCTTCTTGTTTTGTGAAAAGAAGAAAAAAGTCATCAGCATGTAAGTGCCAAAGAAAAGTCTAGTGGAAGATCTAGAGGAAAATTCAATTAAGAAAAAAACCTTTTATCTGTGGTCCTTCCTTTCTTTTGAGCATATGAAAGCTGGTATCTGTAAAAAGGAGAATGTTCCAACATCAGGTCTTTATTTCATCCCTTAATTTTAACAAAAATTGAACCATAGAACCAACAGTTAGATAGGTCATTGAAATTCCATCAGAGATTGTCTTTTCATTGAAAATTAAAAAAAAAAAAAACTTAGGAAACATGCTGGTCTTGACCTTTTTCCAGAAAAGTAAGAAGTCCTCTAGGGATAAAATGTAGTAATGGTGAAATAATATGTTCCAGTCTCCTGAAATTAGTATTTTGCCTTTTCATTTGAGGCAATATTTTGTTAAGAGATTTATTACATTTTATGTAAGATATAGAAGTATTGCAAATAAATTAAAAAACGCACCAAAGTATTGAATTGACCCAAAGCAAAATAATTTATGTATTCTCTGTGTGCAAAACCTCAGGTTTTATTCTAGGCCATAATGAAAACAGATTCTAGAATTGCCACATTTCCAATAAAAAAACAATTCTCTTGAACTCTATCTATAAAGAATATATCTGCTGAAAATGTAGCAGTTACTTATGGCTCTAAAACTGTGATAACAAAGGTGCATAATAATTTCTCTAAACCGATTTTGGCAGTAGTCGTCACACAATCAGTTGAAGATATTTAAGGAAAGTTCCTGTTATAACTGTAAAATCTAAACCAGTTACTTCTGCCTGAAAGCAAATAGAGGGGGAAAAAAAAAGTAGGTATCTCCTCCGTGAAAGCCAATGCAAGGAAAGCATTTCTATCAGCTCTGAGTAGAAATGTGATCATTAGACAACAAGACAGCAACAGTTCTGTGCCATCTTGTTCTTTGAATCTGGTCAAGGCCACCACTATAGGGAGAAATATTCTAAAAACAGGATTCATATGTAACTCCAATATGTTCAAAAAACTGCATGTCCTGTTAGTGATGCGAATAAGTACATGTGTATGAGTGTGAGTATTCTTATCTAAAATGTGTTTGCTCTATTATCTCTACATCAACTGCGGGTTGTGATGAATCCCATACCATGAGAAAATGAACATTCTGCCTCTCTCTGAGATGTCAAAGAACTCTTGTGACTGAGCCAAATTCAAAGATTAAATGAGGCGATTTCATGGCCTAATTATTGTATTAATGCTAAGGCCTTGTCAGGACAACTAGAAGCCTATTCATATTTAAAGATGTAAGTAACAAAGCTGCTTGCTGCTTTGGATGTCACTATCACCAGCAGTGTGAGAGCGATGGACTTACCGAATTCTGAAAGCAAGAACTTAATGGCTCTGGGCAAGAGGAAGGCTTGGGATCTTCCCACTTTCGCAGTGCCATGGGTGCAGAAAAACATACTGAAAGGCCTTCTGACGTAAAAAAAGAGTTGTGGTGTATCTTTGTTAATGTCAATGCCATTTTGCTAAAATTTTGATAAGTGTGGACTCTGGTGTGACTATTTGTAAAATTTTACTTTCATCTTGAAAAACAATCTTTATAAAAGGTATGAACCTCTTAGATTTAACTTCAGCATGAAATTGCACTGTTTCCTCATGTGGGAAAATTCAGATATTTTTTTCCTAGCAACATATATATTTAGGGCAACATTTTCTTAACCCATCTGTGGAAATTACTCTTTCAAAAGTCTTTCAAAAGTCAATGATGAGAGCCATGTGCAACCAAGGATAGAATTAGTTTCTTAATGCAAAATGATAATGGGTTATTTTATTTTTCTTCTTTTAACTTTGAATATTATCAGGTTTAAAAAGAGATCTCCTTTGCCTTTTAAGTTCTCAAGGCAAACATCTCGCATTTCCTTAATGAGTTCTTAGTTTTATTGGCATAGCATCATTGTATAGAATAATCATTCCAAAAAAATCTTCAGGTAAGAGATCTGCTTTAATATATTTTGACTTGAGCCGGTATTCAATTTCTCTTCTATTGTTTATTTGTCTAGACCTACCCAGAACACGCTTTACTATTTGTACAGCAACAGAAGTCCATCTTTCCACTAAAGATAAAAGAGAGGAGGAGGAGGACAGAAGAAACCAGCTGGTAAAACTAACAGCGTGTGCAGATCGCTCAAAGGAAATTTCTTCAAAGTAGACTAAGGTTCTCAGCTTAATTCTGCAGGTGTATTCCTTGCACAGTACTTAAATGGAACAAAAAAAACCAAAAAACAGCAGTATGTTGCAAGACTTCGAGAAACAAAATAAATGAAAACTTGCACAACAATTGCCCAGAACAGGGATATGTTCCAACACAGACTTACTTTGCTTTGACATTTAAATCTACAGCTAATACTAGAAAGCAGTAGAAATGTCTAGAAAGTTTTAGGAAAGCTAAGTCCGGAACCAGGGAATAAAGACCTCCATGTGAAGACTGAAAAGAAAGAAAAGACTGGTCTGATGCCTACCATGCTACCTTGTCTGAGGTATGCTCATACTATATCATGGTCTTTCAATGGGGTGGAGGGAAGAGGAAATCTGAGGCTCAAGTTCTCAAAAATATTTCATTATCTAGGGTAAAGTCCAAAAATAAAAAATGTATAAGCAGCTAACTTAAATTTATACAGAAGTTAGACCCTTTTATTGAAGCTCTCAAACTGGAATTTCTCCACCTAAGGCGCTCACATAGCAAGGCATACAAGTGCTATGGTTTTCTCCAGAAAAAGTATTCACCTGTCTAAAGTTCTACTGCTAGATTAACATAAAGTGATATCATCTGGGCTTAATTTTCATCTTGAAAGAATAGCCTTGAAAACAGAATTTTAACCTACAGACTAGAACAATTAACTGGGCTGGCACCCCCGGGATGGTTTTGCTTTAAGGGTCTTTTTTATTTGTATCTATAAAATGCATAAGCAGTCCAGAGCACAGTATCCAGTACTAAATTTTGCTTCTTGTGTGACAGCAAATCAACCATTTGACTGGACTAGACTCTCTTGGCATTACAAGTTCTATTTTTGCAGCACAGTTACCCAGCCCGAACAGCACAGAGGATAATGTGCCACCAAGACTGGCTTTCAGCTTGCATAACTGGAATATTTTCCTATAAAGTGAGGAATATGAACTTGAATCCGTTTATACTGAGGAAGAAGCTGAACCCCAGTTCTCTATTCTGAAGATAACTATGGTACAGTAACCTTCAGTCTTTCCTATCAGCTATCAGCTATTTCCTGAGGAAAAAAGTAAGAGGGTGGTCTATATAAATGTCCAACTGACATGGATAATCATCAGGAGCTTCTTGCTCCAGATCTCATCTTGATAGGGCACTTAGCTCAGGGATGCAGTTACAGGCCCAAATTCATGA